CCTTACGCCATTGCATGTTGCTGCTAGGCAGGGCCATCAAGCAGTTGTGCAGTGCTTGCTGGATGCCGGTGCTGACCAAGAGAAGGCAGACCACCAGGGCTTTACACCATTGCATCTTGCTGCTAGGCAGGGCCAGCAGGCAGTTGTGCAGTGCTTGCTGGCTGCCGGTGCTGACAAAGAGAAGGCAGACCACGAAGGCTTCACACCATTGCATCTTGCTGCTAGGCAGGGCCACCAGGCAGTTGTGCAGTGCTTGCTGGATGCCGGTGCTGACAAAGAGATGGCAGACCACAAGGGCTTTACACCATTGCATCTTGCTGCCGAGCACGGCCACTAGCCATTAGCAGTGTTGGCACGGCCATCATGAAGGTTGTGCAGTGCTTGCTGGATGCCGGTGGTTGCCCACAATGGCGCCAAGGCTTCGCAGTTGGCAGATCATTGTAGCACAAGCAGAATGGAATATAGAGCGTGGGCCTGACGGTTTGCCTATAAACGGTATTGTTGCGGGGCATTTGTACTTTCACACAGTGCTCGCTTGTGATCAAGACAAACATTGGTTGCAAAGTACCCAACCCCATCAACTTATTCGGGCCCGTGCATGAGCTTGGGGTCGGTTTTAGTAAAACGAAGTGCCCACACATCTTGGGACTGAAGGAGCACAAGGCGAACCTAAAGTAAGAGGGTCACAAAGCTCCAAGCCAAAGGCGGGGCATCAACATCCATTTGAGGATGTAAGATAATTACGCGAAACACGAAGCAACATGAAGCAACAAAAGGCACCGCAAGCTCTTGCCAGGTCGGCTTTGTGGTCGGTTTGTTTTGCAGGGTTACCACTTTCAATTGATGCCCTCAGAATGTTGGGAGCTATATTATCGGCGTTTCTAGAAGGGTTGGACCCCTTTGAGAGAAACCAATGGGAAACGCACCGGATTGGCGTCCTCGTATGTTAACACATGCCCAAATTTAGAATGCTTCCCATGACCATTCGATGTCCTTCAACACAGAAGCACAGTATATGCATAGCCGACAGCCGACAGTACCACCAGACAACTGCGTATACGCGCTCCCGAAACATTGTACTGCGTCGCCCAGGGGTAGAAACTTGCAGCTGATGAAGGCGAATCGAGCAAAATCAATTGTTACACGTCATTGGTCATATTTCAGGCTCGGTTCATGAATGAGCAGCCAGCATTCCAACCACAACATAAACACCACTTTTTGCAGCCACCCCTCATGCCCTTTGCTTTGCCAGTCTGTTTTTGGCGCGCCTGGTTGAAATTTGTGCAACCACACTTCGGCCTAGCTGGATAGGGAAGTTTCCCCGGTAGGCGGGCTTCTCAGGTGTGATACACACGCTGAAGTCCATAGAATGTGGCAGTACTTGAAGTTGAAAGCACAAAAAGCCGGGGCGTTCTTCGTTTCTAGGTTTTGTTGTGTTCGACATTGCCTTTTGGCATCTAACGGGAGGTGTTTTTGGTGGCGTGATCTTTGTTCAGATAAGGCCATGTTCTCATGAGTGCGAATGCAGCTGGTCACTCTACGGACGTTGCGGCATTGCAAGCTTGGTGGACACACTGTAAGTGTTCACCAAGCATGCACACGCATATGTGAAAACATTGGGGTGAAAACATGCTTGGGGTACCTTGAGAAAAGACCAGCTCCTGGGGTCGCGAACGAATTTGAGAGGCTGGAGTTTGCGAGTGAGGTTTCGTTGGCCGCTTGTGGCCCTGGGGCTCATTTTGGTCAAGGGTGGCTAAGGACAAGCAGATGTGGTTCATTCTAGGGGCACCTTCCCCATTCTGAACCCAGGAATCCGAATCTTTCTAGAAAACCTTCAGAAACCCAGGGAAACGGACGGTTATTGAAAATAACGATGGTTAAAAAGAATGAGGAATCAACCCCTAGATTCATTTGTTTTTTGTCCAAAGACACCAAACGCGGACGGATGTTCAAAGTTTCCAGACCTACTGTTTACGCGCAGCTGGAACCCTGCCAGCATCCGGCCGGCAATGACATCGGGTGTGAGGTTTTTGTCCCATGAAGGTCAGGGTCATGTGTTTAGTGTGGCTATGGCGACAATTCCAGTGTCCTCAACGCCAGAGTGTGTCAGCCTCCCATCAGGTGCGGAACTTTGGTGCATTTTGCTTGGATGTTAGGACTTCAACTTTTTGCCAACTCATGGGTTTTCCATCAAACCTTCAAAAGTTAAACTTTTAGCAGGGGAGCAGAAAGCAACCGCGCGAATATCGGCAGACATGTTTCACTTTCCAGATGCGCATGTCTTCGCTTCCAGCCATTGACCCGAGAGGGTTTTAAGTCTTGCTGGTGCCATAGGGAATGAGTTGGAATGACCCCGAGATAAACCGTTCCATTGGTGGTTTCCTTAAAGGGAAGCCCGAAGCAGTCCCAAATAAGCCCGAGCAGGGCTTATTTGGGCTCACTCCCCCCCTCCCTCCCAGCCCTCCCCTCCCTCCCCTCCCGGTTATTCCCTACCTCTCGCACGAGCAAGTTCTTGAGGTTAGATGTGTCCAGATTCACCTCCGAGGAGGCCAAAGAAAGGCGGAGTTTTTTTTCTGGAATGCCGGGTGCACCTGCTTGGATGCGGCAAGCCTTCCGGATCTGAAGCTGGGCCCCAGTAGTGCCCTGGAAACCTTTTTTGGGGGGAGGGTTTTTTTTGCTGAAATAGATTACAGCAAAAAGAGTACCCTTGTTCCAACCTCTCTGGAGAAGCCAGTACTCCTTAATCCTTACCTTGGGTTGCGCGAGGGGTCCCCGTAGATTGCGGATTCGGATTGGGCAACCCACCGTTTTGAACAGCCCATTCCAGTTAGGGGAACTATGGCCATGGCTGCTAGAAGCCGTGGCACAGAGGTTGCTGATTGCGCCGCTGGTGTACAGGAAGAAGCTGCCACAGAGCATGTGGCAGGACATGAGAGGGCTAAATGGTGAGACCCGATTGCCAGAGAGTTTCTGTGCCTGCCGTGCTTTCGAGTTTAGCTCAAAGGACCCTTTGGGATTGGCTGGGGATGGCAAGATGCGTATTCGCCGTCGCCATGGCGTTTTTTTTTTTTTTTTTTCTGGAGGTTTGCCTGATGCAGTCTGCCAAGCCGACTTGAGAAAGATGCGTTCCCCCAAACCCGCGCATCCAGAATCCTTTTCTGCGCGATTTTTTTGACCATTCAACCGGCATGGTTATGAGTATGTTAGGTTCATACCAAGTCTGGTTGCGACTCACTTGACATCTGACGCTTTCGAACTCTTTGAGGTGAGTTTGCGCGTCCAGTCTCCGAGTGCATTCCATCGGATTTGTGTAAGCAACATGCATGTGTAGAGAAGAGTATCCGAGCACGGAGCGAACAGCTCGTTACTCAATGCAAGCGAGCTCGGTTTGTTCAAGCTGATGCCAGCACCAACGTTGACCCCGGCTTCAACCTGACAGATTATTTTGGGGGGGTGGTCCCCATGTCGAAGGTTCCCCTCTACACTCGGACACCCAGGAAAGGTTTCTCCTTATCGCAGGCACGTCGGGGCGTGCGGCGACCCTCCGGAGGCGGCGGTTTGCACGGCGGGGGAAGCAGAGTTGCTTGTGTCCAGAAGCGGCCTGTGCATGTCTGAACTGAGCCCAGCCCATGCCCTTTGACATGCAGCCACATCCCAGCTGTGGCTTGGAAAGCACAGGCTGCAGAGCTACCGAATCTTTCGCTCTCCGTCCTCCGCAGCCGTTGGGGTCCGGACACCTCAGACAGTGTATCTCAAAAACCAGGCCCCTTCCCAGATGTGCCCGGTTGTCGGCTGCTTTACTGTAGTCGCATCTTAAAGCCGCCAAGTTCGACCCGTAGTGGCACATATCCAAATTTGAGGTACTTGCTAGTATCAAATATTAAGATATGGATTGCATAAGCAATGCCACACGAGCAATCTAAGTCGTTTTACCGGATTATTAAAATTATACATGATGGCTGTTTCGCTCGGTGTCCCTTTATGTAACAACCCCCAACACGGCGACCATACACACCGAGACTCCTATAGATCATTGCTATTGCATTGATGTGGAGATTGGCTCTGCACAATATGTGTACATAATTGAAGCATCCACAAGTTGCTTTACAATAGTCTACGGTGCATACTATATTGTATATGTATACACAAAGCATACATACATGCATGCATACATACATACATATATATATGTGGGTGTTCTTTTACCTGTGTACAGACTTGAAGAGGGTGGAAGTGGGAACCCCGCGAATGACGAAGAATACCCCCGAATCATGCCCGTGTAAAACTACTACTGCTAGCACTACTAATACCACTCCTGCTACTACTACTGCTACCTCCTCCTACTACTACTACTACTACTACCACTACTACTACTACTACTACTACTACTACTACTACTACTACTACTACTACTACTACTACCACTACGGCTCATACTAACACTAATACTTCTACTACTGCAACTACTACTACTGCTACTCCCCTTCCTCCTCCTCCTATTAACAACTACCACTAATAATAACAATAATTATAATACTAGTTGTAGTAGTAGTAGTACTACTGCTACTACGACTACGACTATTATTATTACGACTCTGTTTCACCCAAGTCTACCATCATCCGAATCATTCCCCAACTGAGACCCAACCTCGTTCCTTGCCGCGTGTGACCGAACCATTGCAGACGCAGGCAAGTGCCACTATGGGCTTGGCTTCTTCTTACAAATCATACCTCGACACATGCCCCCGAAGCAGCCGAAGCATTCCCAGGATCAGACCCCGAAGCGTACCCCCAACACCTTCCGCCGGTAACGTTATTTTGAGACCGGCCAATATATATATATATATATGCATATGTATGAACATGTATACATGTCACACACACCCATATTTAGTTGTACAAAAACAGAGGAACCACACGTGTATCTATATATACAGCAACGTAGATATTGTCTGCAGCCACTGCTTTTTGACCTCATTACCACGGCTCTGGCACTGGCCATGCGGGTAGAGGTCCACCTGCCCAGCGGCAGCAGCTGCTCACTTGAGGTCTCCGACCGTGGCTCGGTCGCCGAGCTGCGGCGTGCTGCGCAGCTCCACTTCCGGCGCCTTGGGGGAGGGGAGGGGTCACAAGTACCCCCCACTCCGTCGACCCTCTACTAAAACAGCAGGTATTTATTATAGAAACCCAGGTTTCCCAAAAAATACCACTAAAAAAGGGGGTCGTGAAAAGACGGCAGGGGTCATTCGGTGATTCGGGGAGAACATGAGGGGAAGCCAAGATGGGAATCTCTGAATTCAGCGGTTCCTTTGGCTTCGCTCGGCCGATTTTCTGCCAGGGTTTTTTGAATCGCGGCCCAAGCCTTCGGCTCAATCTTCGGTGTTGTTGTGCATCTTGCCGATGAAATCTTAAATTCTAGGGGCAACTTCCATGTCCATTCTGAACCCAGGGATCCGAATCTTTCTAGAAAACAACCAAAGACCCGGGGAAATGGCGATCCGTTTTTGAAAAGAACGATGGTTGAAAATAATGGGGAATCAACCCCTAGACAAATGGCTGTGGGTCAAAAAATAGGGACTCGACACGGCACCCCAGTAAATGCCAAAACTGGACAAAAGCTTGCGGTCCACCGGTGGTTTAACTTTGACCCATACCCACATGACCTACTTCGAGGGGCTTCTGTACGTCAGGTAAGTAGCTATTGACCCAAGGTACTTCCTTGGGGGGAAAGCGTCAGGTGAGCGCCTAACCGCAAGGAACTCTCCTGACGTATCTTACCACTCTGAGAATGCGCTTGGTCGATGTGTGAAAAAAAAACTCTTTTAGGCGTTTTGAGGGGAACACCAACGGATGACTCTTGTTCTCATGGTCTTTTTTGGAGCCGGGGTTGTTCTTTTTGCCTTCTTGGAAAAAGGTTGCCCCGAGGAGCCCGAGTTCCAGGCCTGGGTGTGCTTTTGGGCACATCGGCACCGGTGAATGCTTAGAAGTGAACTCATCACCTGTGAAATCTATCTTTTGTTCAACGAAACTGACCTCAATGGACCCCGCGCACCCCAAAAGGACGTCTGGTATGGCTCATTCCCTTTCTTTCATGCTTAAGTTTCCCTTCCTGAATTTTCCTGAACTGAAACGAGTACGAATAAACTCGCCCTGTTCAACTTGGCGTAAGGCGGGGCTTCCTGCGGCTCGTGCTGAATGGCCAAGCTCTGGAGGATGCATCGACTCTGAGCGGGGCAGGGCTGCAAGATGGGGATGTCGCGCCCCTTTGGCATCAGTGGCAACCACGTTTTGATTTGATCTGGGCACCCCGTGGTTGTTCTGTGTTTGTTCTTTCTTTTTCCCCCGACCCTCCGTTTGCGGGGCCCACAAGCACAATGTAAAATGGAGGTCGACCTGTTTGTTGCTATGAGTTGCTTTGGCGCTGCGCCAAAAGTGTGGACGAACAGACCCCTGGACAAGACCACCCGAAAGAAGAATCACAAGGCTGTGTTCCAACGGTTCAGAGCGGCAAGTGTGTCTTCATGGATTTGTATTCATCGCTGACCCGAAGCCCTATTGTTTGAGGTTTTCCAGGGGTTAACAGTGTTTACATCAAGGACCCTACGACTTTAGGCCAGGTTTCATGATGAAACCTCACCGATTGTTTATTATGGAAAGGAAAAAGAAACGACAGACCAACCAAACCAAGCAAACAAACCAGTTAAAATTAATCAAGCAAACCAAGCAACCAACCAAGCAAACAAACCAACCAACCAAGCAAACCAACCAACCAACCAACCAACCAACCAACCAACCAACCAACCAACCAACCAACCAACCGAGCAAACAAATCAAGCAACCAACCAAGCAAACAAGTCAAGCAACCAACCAAGCAAAGAAATCAAGCAACCAACCAAGGAAACTAACTAACCTACCAAGCAAACAAATCAAGCAACCAACCAAGCAAGCAAATCAAGCAACCAACCAAGCAAACAAATTAACCAACCAACCAACCAAGCAAACAAATTAACCAGCCAACCAAGCAAACAAATCGATCAACCAACCAAGCAAACAAACCAAGCAAACAAATCAACCAAGCAAACCAAGCAACCAACCAAGCAATCAAACCAACCAATCAAGCAAACCAACCAACCAACCACCCGAGGAAGCAAGTCAAGCAACCAACCAGGCAAACAGCTCAAGCAACCAAACACGCAAACAAATCAATCAAACCAACCAACCAACCAACAAAGCAAACAAATCAAGCAACCAACCAAGCAAACAAATTAACCAACCTACCAAGCAAGCAAGCAAATTAATCAACCTACCAACCAAGCAAACAAATCAACAAACCAACAAGCACAGACCGGGCGAAACCTCGATCCCGCGTCCCAGGTGCACTGCGTGGTGCTTTTTGCCGCGCTGAGCAGCACTGGGCGCGCCTTCGCACTGCTGGTGGGCGACGCTGTGGTGACTTGGGGCTCCGAAGGCGAAGGCGGCGACTGCCAGGCGCACGGCCCACGGGGGCGTGGACCTGACGACTCCTGAAGCCTCAGAAGTCCAAGGAAAAAATGGGTAGCAACCCACCAGCGAACATGGGTTTGTGCACAGAGGCCTGGAAGCCGACTTTCCTCTTGGAAAGGGTTAGTTGGTGGGAGGGTAGCAACCCAAAAGTATGGTGACATCCCAATTTTGAAGGGTAGCTTGAGGGCCCAGGGACGAGCTTGTTGTGTAGGTGCGGCTCGTGTGTTTTGGAAGGTGCCTTGAAAATGGGGAGGTTGTCCCTTCGTCCAAAAGCACCCCGTGGGTTGTTTTCAGGCTCGGTATCCTTGGCATGTGTTCTTTATGGACATAATTGTCGATCTCAAGTATTGGGACCTCCCATGTTTGGAGACAAACCCTGAAGTCTGATGTGGGAGAACATCTCCCAAAGGATTCGGAGCCGCTTGATCTGGGACGATGAGTTGGTCTGTGGTCGACCCATGCGAGGTGGAGCTGAAGAAGATCCAAGCGATCCAGGCGGCCCGCGAAGGCCGGTCGGTGGAAACGAGAGGTATCGACGGGTTCGGGATTTTTTGGGACTGCCTGGATCGCAAGTTGCTGTTTGTTTGTTTTGTTTTTCTCCATGCACTTAACCCAAAAAACAGCAACTGTGACTGAAAAAAGACGCAGCTTGGCTATCAAGGTGGGTGGCTCCTCTTTTTGGAACTTACCTGATATGGATGGTGTTAAAAGGAACATACCAGGGACAACTACCAATGAGGGAGACCTATTTTGGGTGACACTGACGTTTTCTGGATCCTGGAGCTTGGAAACGCCTTTTTGGGTGGACTAACAAGGTTTGAATGCCTGGGTTCCGCTAGGTGCATTTGCTGCCCTCCGTGAGGATGGCACAGTTGTGACCTGGGGTTCTCCCGAATTTGGAGGAGATAGCAGTCAGGTGCAGGAGAAGCTGACGGGTGTGCAGCAGATTCAGGCCACTGAGTGCTCTTTCGCCGCTTTGCGGGCGGATGGCACCATAGTAACTTGGGGTGACTCCTTCTGTGGGGGCAACAGCAGCTACGTTCAGCAGCTGAAGGGAGCCACAGGGATCCAAGCGTCAGACTCGGCGTTCGCAGCTCTTCTGGACACCGGCCGGGCGGTGGTGTGGGGGCATCCCAGCTGTGGGGGGGCCATGAGCAGTCGGGAGCAGGAGCAGCTGCGGGGGGTCCGGGAGATCCAGTCCACACGGCTGGGCGCGTTGGCCGCCATTTTGGAGGTCCGGGGTTGAAACTCGAAAGTCGATGCGGGGAAGGGAGTTGAACAAGGTGTAGGGATCCGAATGCCTCGACATGGCGGGTGTTCGAACCCTTTGAAGTCCGATGTGGGTTTCCCTTGAAACCGAGGTGAAGTTTGGCATCAAGCCAAAAACACAGATCCGAGTGGTTTCATTAAACACGTCCCTGAGGATGGCCGGGTGGTTTGCTGGGGCTTGTCCTCTGAAGGTGGAAACAGCTGCCGGGTGGCAGACCAGCTGATAGACGTCCAGCAAATCCAAGGTACTGCCTCAGCATTCGCAGCCATCAGGAAGGATGCTCGGCTCTTCTCAGACATATGTTTTTCTTCGAGGTTGACCCATTTTGAGAAACTGAATCTGAAATGTTCGAATTTGTGGTCCCCGGCCAAGGATGGTACGGTAGTGACTTGGGGTCTCGCTGCAAGCGGTGGTGACAGCAGCACGGTGCAAGATGAGCTGGTGGGGGTCCAACAGATTCAAGCCACCGAGGCCGCATTTGCGGCTGTGCGGGCGGATGGGACCGTCGTGACCTGGGGGAATCCGCAATTTGGAGGAGACAGCAGCGTGGTGCGGGAGCAGCTGGTGCAGGTCCAGCGGATCCAAGCAACGGCCAAAGCTTTTGCTGCCATCTGTCAGGATGGCACGGCGGTGTCGTGGGGGCATCCTCAGTCCGGTGACAGCAGCAAGGTACAACATCAACTTGTGCAGGTCCAGCAGATCCAAGCTACTCAAAGTGCTTTTGCCGCAATTCGGGCGGATGGCACGGTGGTGACCTGGGGAGATCCGGATTTCGGGGGGGACAGCAGCAAGGTGCAAGAGCAGCTGGTACATGTAAGTCAGATTCAAGCAACCGAGTCCGCCTTTGCTGCCGTTACAGCCTGCGGCACCTTGGTGACTTGGGGCAATCCATATGCTGGTGGTGACAGTAGCATGACAGTAGCAAGCTGCTGGATGTGATTGATCTAAGACACCGGGCAAGCCTCCACACAAACGGCAAGCCAGGTTAAAATGATCATCATGCAAATGCGCAAGCGCACCCAGGTGCTTTGCGGAATCGGGGGGTTGACAAGCAATTATACTAATGTGGCAAAGCAGAACCAATAATTTGCAAGCCCTTTGTTTCTCTTATGCATTGCAAGTTGTGCATTTAGGAATTTTAACGCCTCCGGCTCAGGCCGCCGACATTACAGGCCTGCTTTCTTATTTGCGTCCCTTTGGAATTGTCCCCTTGCCCCCCTTCCCCTCTAAGATTTTTGCCCCCCTTTCCCTGTTGAGATCCATTCCCCCTTTCCCCCGTAAGGCCCTTTCTCCCTCTCAGATTTTTTCCCTTTTCCTCCCTAAGATGTTTTCCCCCCTCCCTGTTGAGATCCTTTCCCCCCTTTCCCCCGTAAGGCCTTTTCCCCCCTGAGATCTTCTCCCTTTTCCTCCCTTTCCCCCCCTTTCCCCCCTAAGGCCTTTTCCCCCCCTGAGATCTTTTCCCTTTCCTCCCTGAGATCTTTCCCCCCCTTTCCCTGTTGAGATCCTTTCCCCCCTTTCCCCCCTAAGGCCTTTCCCCCCGCTGAGATCTTCTCCCTTTTCCTCCCTAAGATCCTTTGCCCCCTTTCCCTGTTGAGATCCTTTCCCCCCTTCGCCCTAAGGCCTTTCCAGATCTTCTCCCTTTTCCTTCCTAAGATTGTTTCCCCCCTTTCCCTGTTGAGATCCTTCCCACCCTTTCCTCCCTAAGGCCTTTCCCCCTGAGAGCTTCTCCCTTTTCCTTCCTAAGATCCTTCCCCCCTTTCCCTGTTGGCCTTTTTCCCCCAGATCTTCTCCCTTTCCTCCCTAAGATCTTTTCCACCCCTTTCCCTGTTGAGATCATTTCTCCCCTTTCCCCACTAAGGCCTTTGCACCCAGACCTTCTGCCTTTCCTCCCTAAGATCTTTCCTCCCCTTTCCCTGCTGAAATCCTTTCCCCCCTTTCCCCCCTAAGGCCTTTCCCCCCCTGAGATCTTCTGCCCTTTCCTCCCTAAGATCTTTCGCCACCTTTCCCTGTTGAGATCCATTCCCCGTTTCCCCCCTAAGGCCCTTTCTCCCTCTGATTTTTCCTTTTCCTCCCTAAGATGTTTTCCCCGCTCTCCCTGTTGAGATCCTTTCCCCCCTTTCCCCCCTAAGGCCTTTTCCCCCCTGAGATCTTCTCCCTGTTCCTCCCTTTCCCCCCCTTTCCCCCCTAAGGCCTTTTCCACCCCTGAGATCTTTTCCCTTTCCTCCCTGATGAGATCCTTTCCCCCCCTTTCCCCCCTAAGGCCTTTCCCCCCGCTGAGATCTTCTCCCCATTCCTCCCTAAGATCCTTTGCCCCCTTTCCCTGTTGAGATCCTTTTCCCCCTTTCCCCCAAGGCCTTTCCAGATCTTCTCCCTTTTCCTTCCTAAGATTGTTTCCCCCCTTTCCCTGTTGAGATCCTTCCCACCCTTTCCCCCCGAAGGCCTTTCCCCGCCTGAGAGCTTCTCCCTTTTCCTTCCTAAGATCTTCCCCCCCCCCCCCCGGTTCCCTGTTGGCCTTTTTTCCCCCAGATCTTCTAAGGCCTTTGCCCCTAGATCTTCTCCTTTTCCTCCCCAAGATCTTTCCCCCCCTTTCCCTGCTGAGATCCTTTCCCCCCTTTCCCCCCTAAGGCCTTTCCCCCCCTGAGATCTTCTCCCTTTTCCTGCCTAAGATCTTTTGCCACCAGGGGAGGGGTAACAGGTAAGGAGCATTTTATGTGTCCAACACGCCGTCAAGTTGTCGGCGGATATATATATATATATATACATACACAAAGAGATACAGCATATGCTATATGACTCGCCTTGTAATCAAGTGCAGCACTGGGACGTGCCAGCGATGGTGCTGACTCAACACATGCGCGGCCAACAAGATCTACCTCTTCAGTCGCAGTAGATATCTGAGGTGAATCACTGCAGATGGCTTGGCCAGTTTCAGAGGAATCCGGCCAATTTTACGGGTTTCTCCATTTGGGTGGGTCTTTGTTCAGGGACCCCCCCACCCCCCCGCGCCCCAAATGGTGGCGTTCCTTTTTGTGTCCTTCTCAAACCACCAAACAGGAGGCACCCTCCATCTGGAGCCATCCCTTTGCCGGGAAGGTTGAGATCCTGGCACGCGGGGAGGAGAACGGCATCCTTGCGGCCAGGCGAGCGGGTGGCTAGGGAGCAGAAGAGAGCTCCGGTGGCTGTTAAGCCTTAGGATTGGCTCGGCCAAGGATGTTGGAAGGTTTACTCACTTGCCCAAAGCCGACCTTTGAGCAACCTTTTGGATTCCCCAGTTGGTCTAGTTTTAGTCAAGGTTCCAAAAGGTTGGCCTTCTATTTCCAAGTCCTTTGGGCAAGTGAGAATTTCAGAATTCGCAGCTTCACGAGCCTGAGAGAGCCAGATTGTGTAGGCACTGCAGTGCCGGGTCCATGCATTTGACATGTGAAATAGAATTTGAGAATTCACTTTGAGCAATTTAGGGCTCTGGGGGTGTCCTTTTGTGGTTCCCCTTTTGGACATCCTCCACAAACCCTTTGCCACGTACGGGCGGCCAGGGGAACGATCCGAGTTCGCTACAACGCGAAGCAGATCTTTCAGAGCCTTTGTGACCCAGAGGACGGGGAGTCTGGAGCGCGGGCGTTTCGGTCAAGGCCTCCAGGGCCACAAAGAAGTTTGTTGTTTGTCTCCGCCGAAAAGGGGCAGGGCTAAACCCCCAAAACGAAGGCGACCCTTTAAGAGATGTTCCATGTTTGCACTTGTTCATCTTGACTTGTTCATCTTGGGGGGTTGGCTCAAAATCATTCTTGTGGTGTGTTTTTGTGTAAAAGGGGAAACCAAAAGGATGCCAACCTTGTGGGAGGACCCCCAGTTTTGAGAGCAGCTGTTGGTTAATTTCCCTTCAGGGCGGCCTTGGGCCAGGTTTCTGGAGGGGTGTCAATGGCGCGGAGCTGTTTTAGGCATTCAATGGGATCAACGTAAGCCACACACCATGAGCTTGTGCACCTGGTCCTACAACAGGTGCCCTCCAGGATTTTCCACTGAAACCCGCTGACTGGCCGACGTCACATGAGGGGCTACTGACCTTTTCTCCTGGGTGTCCGGCTTGACGGTAAACTAATAACATGATACCATGGTGTCACACTTGTTTGAGTTCCTGGACTTGAAACACTTGCGAGGACCGTGGCAAAGAAAGGAGTTTGGATTTGTTTGCCCAATATCTTTGCTGGGGTAGTATCGCCGGTGGGTCTCAAAAGGGTTGAACCAAGGAATTCCTCCCAAGTCTCGGTGCATCCGACAGTGCTGAAAAACAAACGATCTCTTTCAGGAGAGTTCGAGACAACTATATTTGGATGTTCGGAGGCTTCCTATTCAGGGAATCATAGCTCTCCACCTACCTCACAAGTGGACGTAGTCATGGCACGTATGACCCTGCTGAATGCATGGTAATTCAAGAAGAGCTGCTTTCTGAATCCGAGCATGTTTGCGTGTCCTCAGCTTGAGGGGTGTAAGGGGCAGGGCTCGAATTGCTCTTCACTTGCCACACTGTTTGTGTCCCTCCTGAAGCCTGTTTCTACTTCATGCCTGTCGCCACTTTTTGTTTGCACTCCCCGATTGATCGCCAGGTTTCTTTTTACGGCGCCTTCCGTGTGAGTGTGAACTTACTTGCCCGATGTTCGTTTGGTTTCAAGTGTTTCATGTGCCTAGGTGTCAAGAGGGGAACCTCTATTCAAGTCCTCTGTGAGTCAAACAGCCAGAGGAGAACAAGCGGATTTTCGACAACTGCGCCTCCGTGAACCTTCGGAACCTCATTCAAGAGGATGTGGCGCTCGCCTCAAGTTTTCATTTCGGCAGCGAACCGAAGCACTGGAGTGTGCAGAACGTCTGCGATGAACATGGCATCAGGGGCTTAAGCACGTGCCCCCACCCTGGCATCCCCCCAAAATGATATCATGATATGCCCTTTGTGATCCATTTGTGTGCTTATTGCGCATTGCCCTTCTCTATTGTCCTTGGCTGACGCCTTGGACAGTCCAAATAGACTCGCACACCTCCCGTCACCTCCAAGACATGCGCCTAATTACCGGCTCCAAACCCAGAGCTCCGACGACATCATTTCAAGTCGGTGAAACCGAAGATCCTAGATCCCAGTTCCAGTGGATGGTTTTACAGATCGAACAAACATCAGGAGCATGTCCGAATAAGGCTTCGACAGGTAGGTCCGCGAGCTCGTTGTTTGGGCTAGTTCTGCACATGAATCAATTGGTAAGACCGATAGTTTCTCATTCTAAACAAAACGAGCTGCATGCCATGATTCCAATAGACAACCTATTTGCTTCGTCTTCATTGGATACTGAGGTTTCTTGCAGGATGCAGGTGTGCGAGGTTGTCAGCCTGGACTATCGCTTGCAAAGAAGCTGGATCACTCTTGCACTACAGGTACTTCTGCGGCTGAGTCATTTGTTCTGGCATACTTCAATCTTCACCTCGCTTTCCCAGAACAGCTGGGATCTCTTTAAAACCTTTTTTTACATGTTTATGTTCACTACAAATGTTTTTGGCTGGGTAACAGCTGAGGTAGACATGGGAAAGGACCCACGGGACCATTTCAGGAACCTCAGCGGATTTGGGTTGGCCCCTTTCCATCCATCGTCCAGTGGGAAAGAGTTGACCATGTTTAGACAGCCAAACCCCAGTTTTTTTTTCAAGGTAAAGTTGAATTGAGGTTATTTAAACACTACCCTAAGCATCATTGAACCCAGTGGGGTCAGGACCACCGTTTCTATCTCAAAACAAAAGGCCCTTTTGAGGTCCCAAGATGCTTCGGGTCGCCTCTAAACCGAAAAATTCAACAGTTTGGTTCTCGCCCAAGCCTGCTTTTCCACCGAGTTGCAGGTGGAGAAGACACGTACCTTCGAGGTGAGCAAGACTGGGCGGTGGACTCTCCTAGGCAGGGCACTCGC